TAAGACACATGAGCCGCGCTAAGAACCTCCCTGTTCATGTTTACTTCAGGCAGACAAAAGTTTACGCTTGTTAGCCTTCTTACAAAACACTCTGAGGTCAGCGGCGGATCGAATTAACAAGTCTAATTTTCGTGGCAGGTGTGGGACGGTCAATTATCACCCTCTTTTAAATTTATAATAATAAAAAGCTTTCCGGGGTGACAAATGACCGCCCACACCTTCCCTTGTGTCATGGTGTAGGATTCTAGGGGGATAGGGTTGTCATGAGTTTCAACATCAAGAAGCGCAACTTTCTTCTGGCCAGTGTAGTAGTGGGCTTGTCATATGAATCCTTCGCGTAAGCAAAGCTCTGATGCGCGTAAGGTTGCGTAAGCTTTTTTTTGTGAGATGAAACTTGCGTAAGCAAGTCGAAATTTAACATACATGTCACATGTATTCTTGAAATGTTTGGAAATTCTATGGAAACCTGTGTTGATGAGGCCTTGCATTGGATCTTTGTCTTGGCAATTGGTATGGTCGAAGGTGATTGGCTCCACAGAAAGAAGGGTTCTTGGGGTTCCTGTAGTCATGTTGCCACACTAGCTGAAGGATTTTTATTCATACAGGACATAGGCATCAGGACAGAGATTTTATGGGTCGACACATGCAAACATTACTCCTATAGCCATACAAACAACTCCCATAGCCATAAAGTCTACCAGCGGTTGTCAGACACACCATGTCACCATGCAGTTATCGGTTTTGGTGTCGGTAATCCGCGTAAGCTGCGCGTAAGCCCCCCTCTCTTTTGTGGACGCCCACAATGCCTCCTAAAAAGCAGGCTTTTTCTGACTTGCAATGGTGCCAAAGGCAACGCATTGTCCAAACCATCTACGAAATCCTGGCTGCTCACTGCCCCACAGCCGCAGACGTAACAAACCTGTTGTGTATTGTGCTTTGCTTGGAAAACAAATAGCGCGTAAGCTGGCACTGTGGCCGGGTGCAAGATCGTGTTCGCGTAAGTGTTGCGTAAGCCCCTTTGTGTGCAAAGTGTGCGCGTAAGCTGCCATTGTGGTGGCGTAAGCCAGGCGTAAGCTGCTGCGTAAGGAAAGTCTTACGCCATAGGCAGATGCCACACGTTTTGAGCACAGCTCACATGATCAGTATTCTTGTTACTGTACTCCTACTAATCATGTATACAGTGTTTATTCCCCAATAGCCATGCTATGGGGTCTTGCAAAACTAATAGGCGGACGGGCGCCGTCGGGTCACCGTCAGAGCTGGTGGGCGGATGGTGTCCCGGTCATGTTTTGATGGCGTCCGGGTCATGTGGTGTCCCGGTCATGTTTTGATGGTGTCCCGATCATGTTTTGATTGTGACCCAATCATGTTGTGATGGTGTCCCAGTCCTGTTTTGATGGTGTCCCAGTCATGTTTTGATGGTGTCCCGGTC